AAAAATATTTGCTTTAAACATATTTATTCCACCTGCTGAGTTCTCATTCCACAATATTTGCCTCATCTGCAAGGCTTTCAAAAATTAAAACTGCTTATTGAAATAAAATACAGAAGCTCACATTTCAATTCTGACACAGCTATTTCAGGTAGCCACATCGCACCTCAAAAGAACATCTGTGACATGATACTTGACTGAATGAATGCATTTTAATGACAAACTGTGCAATAATTTTTAAAAACCTTAGTTTTATCCATAAAAATCAAACAAATTAGCATTGGTTTTGCTTTACATTAACACAATTTTTTTGTCTAGAGTTGAAAGCAGGCTTTATCCTTCCAAAAAGCTGATTTTTCTACAAGTAAGGAAAACACTTTAATTGGGATGGGCTTGAGGCCTTCAGTGGTCATTCTTGTTAACATTTGTTGGTGTTCTACTTTAAGTTTTCACACTCCGGAACATTCTTCTGTCAAAAAGGTATTTTTGTCAGGTTTATGTTCATTCTTGGAATAATGTGTGTAGATTCTACATACTATAAACTCTAATCTTGTTAGTTCTTTACCTACTTCAATTAATAGATTATATAATTAGAGACACTGCCTTTACAACAAAAAATCCTATCCTTCTTACCTCTTCAAACATTATGTTCGCTTTTCCCACTAATCCTACCAAAAACATTTTATGAGGAGATCTATATTGCAGAGAAGAGGACTTAAAGACTGTCTTCATACCACTAAATCTTATTGCCACAATTTTCAAAATGCAATTATCAAGGCACTGTTAGAGCATCAGACATCACCAATTTGAGGATCAATTAATTTTAGCAGACATTGTTAATTACATGGTTACGCTGAATAATTTTTGTTTTAAAATTGATGAATTTTAAAGAGAGATGCAAATGAGTGCATATTGGTTGGCTAAAGTTTTTGGTTTTCTTATGAGTGCATAATTAATTTTCTTGAGCTTCTCTGCTATGCTTTTTAATGTAAAGTGCACTAAAAACATTCAAACATCAGCTGGAAAGAATGGACCACAACACAAAATCCAATTGCTCCAGGGGTTTGACCACACTTGCTGTCTGAGAGAATAAGCTAAGTAATGAAATGAAAGAGCTATTGGACCATCACAATGCATGCAAAGCATCATATAACTGCTTTGTAGTATGCATTGTAAGTTGAAATACTAAAATTCTACCTCTTTGAATGGCTAAGATGGATTGTGTTTGAGATTAAAGGAATAATTTATGATCAGATGAGAAAAACCACCAAGTCAAATATGACAGTAACTTGGTGTTAATATAAGATTTTCAAGACAAAATATGTAGTTTAACTATGGAAGGAAGAAAATTAACTTACCATCTAATTTAAAGATAATTTATATCAATTGTATTCAAAAGCAAGTTAGTGAGACTCTGGAGACTACTCTTAGAAGAACTTGGATAAATTAGAGGACTGCTCTAACTTGGACTTGGAAACGTCTCTAGGAAGATTCCAGTGGAAGGTATCATTACAGCACACCATACTCTATCTCTGTTATGCACCTGTATGTAGCAGCAATACACTGGGAAGAGTCAGCAAATGATGTAGGATGTCATTTCTTCCTTCACCTTTGTCTATACTATTCTTACTAAGCCCTTCTGGAGAGGTACAACCTTTCTTATACAAGTGGTGGCAATAACCCCTTACTTCTTTTCTTCCATATTTTCAAATCAACATTCTTTAAGACTTAAACAACACAATGAAAAGATTTTTAAGAACCCACCTTGAAGACGAAAAGTTTAAAAGAGGGAAATCAGTGAAAAGCAGTGCTTTCTGTAACAAACAAATTATACAAATGACTCAAAGGTAGTACAACTGAAATTGCTTTTGGAAATATACATTTTAAAATAAAGCACATATAAGCACTTACATTTATAAAGTTCCTTTCCTTTACTTATGCCTTAGTACAGAAGTTTGGGGCAGATAGAAAAGAGATAGCTTATGAGTAGTGATACAGTGGTTCTTCAAAAAAAACACAGGAAAGTGATCTGATTTTTGTAGCTTTATATGTTTTAGAGGAGGAAACATTTGTGGAGACTGTCAAATTCCCTTTGAAAAGCTTTTCTCAATACTTTCCTTTTGGAGAAAGGAAAGAGAGTGAGGCTTTCTCTCACAAACATGCCTACTTTAAATAGACATTTCAGGAGCACAGATTCATGACCCATGCTTTCTCTTGCTAGCTAAATTGCTAGCCACTAGATGAGATCTCCCATTTAAACTCTGTAGATGTCGATGCTCTAGCTGCACAGCTATGTTAACTATATATTTTTTTTTCAGAGTTATGTAGTAGTAATTATTTTAAACACATAAAAGAATCTATAATAATGCAAACATATCCTCAGCAGAGGGGTTAGAAAAGTACTGAGTCCCATCACCGGCTACCATAGTCATACATATCACAGCATCATATCTAAGCTCCGTCTTGAAACACACAGGGCTCTTCTATCTCCACTCAGTGCTAAACTATTCCTGAACCGAAGGGTTGCAGTGGTTGAAAGGCTTTTAATTTATGATCTAAATTTATCCCTTGTCTCTTTATTTGCTTTCATGACAATGTTATCATTTAGCTTAAAATTATTTTCTCTTTGCAGGTGCATGTCATAGATAGAACATGAGCTCATTTTTCCTAGTAGATGTCAATATCTGTTTTTTTGAGCTGCCTGTAGTTTATGGGCAGCTTGAATGTAATTTCCATTCTGGGGGTTAATTCCATACTGTGCAAGTAACTGATGCTCATACAATTGCTTGGAAAATCCAATACCCATCTGTGAAAAGAACTGAGTTAAATGGGTCAACATTACCACATGTAACTTGCAACCAAGTTTACAGGTTACAGTACAGGCAACTGCAAGCCTGCAGCCCAGTTCCAGTGTAGAAGGACACTGAGAAGACAGCATTTTTCACTTCAACTATGTCTATTGCTTCCCTTCCTTAAGCTCTTCAAGTCCATAAAGTGTCTTTTGGCAATCTGAAGATTTCTGCATGAGATTTGTAATGTCTACTCTGAATTTAGCCTGCCTTTCTATATATTATAGCTCATTCCTTTTCATCAAGCTAGCCTTATATGAAACACAAAACCTTATATTTTGCTAAATTGTTTCTTCCAGAAAGCTGTATTGTCTTGACTGGTACAGTTTGATCTTCTGTTCTTACCTTTCTTATTAAACTGTGTGCCTAAATTCCCACTTGAATTTGTGTCTGTCATTGATTTTCCTTCTGCCTTTCTTTTTAAGATAAATGTGCAGTATTTTCTACTCCTTTGAGTTATTTATACACTTCAATTATGTTATTTTTCAATTTCTTTTTGATAAACTAAGCAGATTGAGCTCTTAAAGTTTCTTACTTTAAGAAAATTTCCCTGACTCTCAGGTCATGGTTTAGTGGCTTTGTTCAGTACCTTTCCTAATGCTTTAATGTTCTTTTAAAACTTGGACACAGAATTTGATACAATGTCCCTGAACTGGTCTCATTAATATCATATAAAATAATGTGACCTTCATGCTTCTACTCACTCTTTCAATCTTTCCACACTACCGGATAACACAGTAGTGCAGTGAGAACTTTACTACAACAGTGCTGACCTGTTCAACATGAATTCTGAATCCTTCTTCAGACTCGATTGTTTTCTCCAATAATGCCCACATTCCCAATTCATATAATCCTCTGCCTGTTTTAATCTGTTCTACTTTAATGGATTGAAATTAAGAAATGGGTTATTTTCTTGCCCTCATCAATGCTTATACTTCTGCCATTTTTAAAATTTTTTTGCAATTCTTGGTTTTAAACCATCAATTATTTTGTATTTTCTTTCCAGTTCATAGATTGCAGTGCTGAACACCATTCTTATTACAACTGCCTATAGTACATTTTCATCCACGATTTAGGATGTAGGTGCTGATCTATAGAAGCTGCATCTTGCCTGTGCCAGGCTGCTTCTTACTCTAACATTTATATCCAAATGTAAATGTCTTCATCTTGACCTACTGGTTCTTGGTTCAAATATGACTTTTGGTATATCATGTACTGTCAGAAACATGTGATTCAGGATGTTTTCCTATCCCAGTCCATGAAATTCCAACTCAACAATCTTCAAGGCATGATGCATGATTTAACAGTCAGGATAGATCAAATACAGGAGTAATTATAGTCCTGGTGATGCTAATTTTCTGTTCATGCCTGGTTTTGTATAACAGCTTGTTCAGAACAAAAATTCTTACCCTAACTTTTGATGGTGAAAATGCAGCTAGTCACAAATCATTTTCTGAACACATCATTTGACATTTTCCATTTTTTTTCTTTATTTTTGTCCACTACTTTAGTTATCAAATATCTTTTTAATTGTTTGGCAAGGCTTAATTTACGTTGTAAAGATGTTTAGGACACATTCAGGAAAGTCAAAGTACTGCTTTAAGTTTGAAATTGGAAAATGGTTTAAATCCTTTTGTAAAATGTTAGTAATATTTACCACTAGCCCACACAAACAACACAGAATCAGTACCAGGGATAGCATTCTTCTTATCATTTTTTTTCTGCTAAAATATGAATAGGCCAGAAGACTGGGAGGTTATAATCCAGTAAAAGACTTCAGCAATGGGAAGCCTTCACAGTAATTAAAAGTTGCATAATGACTTTATGCATCACAGGATAAAATTTTGCTGATATTAAATTCTTATAATTCTGCCTGTTAGAAATGTATGCAAAAATTCCTTAAAAAAATCGACAGGTGAGAGTTAATTCCCTCTAGAGGGATGGCAGTATTATTTTTCCAACAGTATTCTTAAAATACATGTTTTCAATTGAAAGTAATTTGAAAGGGCGGGGTTCTGCAGTGCTCAACCAGCTTTTATTCAATACTACACCAAGCTGAGAAAAAGGGAAAACATTCCTTGAATAAATACTTAGTTATAAATTACAGCTGATTTCTAAAACAAAACTTGCTTATACAAAATATGTTAATTATTATGATATTGTTTTCAGAAAAGGGCAATAAAATTATTCAAGATATTCTGAGACTTTGAAATGAGTAATGAAAGCAAATGTTAAGGATGCTATCTTACAGAAAGGTAAATGCCGCTTTGACAAAATCCATAGTCACAGCAATTACCTTTTTTCCTATTCAGCATTAGTTACCTTAATTCAAAATACTCTATTTCATGGCAGCCTTTCAAAGCAACAACTACAACAATGAAAGATTTAGAAAAAATTCAGTGCAGTGAAAGAGGACAAAGAAACAAATTCTCCATTCAGAGAAAGTGATCAATATTGAAGCTAACAATAGTCCTTTCTATATTTGTGTTCCAAATAATTTATTTATATCAAGAATAAAATTATAGGATACATATATATCCTGTAGTGTAGGAATTCTATATACCCTATAGAACAGAAATATAACTTTCTTATACAAGAGTTTAAGAAATCTAAGTGCTTTTTATATATATGTATATATACACACACACACACACACACACACACATATATATATATATATATATATATATATACATAGTAACTTGATTCTCCTGCCTTGCAAATGCATAAAATCCAGCAGTGTAATTGGACTCTCATACTTTATTTGCTTTATAATCATGTGTGATGTTTTATAGAAAGATAAATGACTATGAGTTGCAATAATGTGATGAATCAGATAAATTCAGAATGATTGATAATGAAAATTATGCCAAAAGGATAACTGCAAATTGAATTATAAAAAAAAAATTCTTATGTACTTGCTTTCTCAGAAAAGGAAATACATTTTCCTGATATGGGAAGAAATAAAGAACTAGGTTAGCTACCGAGGAAACACTTTTACTTAAAAATAATACTAAATGAGATATCAAAGTATTCAGAACAATTTAGAAGTATCAAAAAATGTAGAAATTTATGAAAAATCTATAGATATGTAAATCAATTTACACAGAATAAACACTAGATAAGCAAATAAGCAGAAGGATTAATTTTTAACTCTTAGAATTCAGTTAATATTTAAATTAAAAGACTTAGTTTTAATTAAAATGTAAGCCACAGCATTCTAGAGATTTCTATGTTCATATTCTTTGTGTGTCCAAATTTGTAACACTCTTGAGTGCTGTGTAAGACTTAATATGAAATAATTTTTAATTTAAGATATTAAATCCAAATTTTAAATTTGAAAACAGATGTTTTATAAGGCTTTCTAAATGGAAGTTGCCATAAAACTGCAACTTTTCATGTCTTGTGTAACATAGTCTTGGGAGAAAAAAAAAAAAATACATTCCCAGTCTGCACTTAACATGGCATCTGCATACACACATACCTGCATGGATTTTTTCCATTTTGGAACTCCATCCATTATTGACAAGCAAAGTTCAGCATAAATTTTTTATGAGTTAGAAAATTCCTAAGGGTTTTGCATTTCTCCCTGTGTTTACTTCTAAACAAAGCATATTTAAGCACTTCTAAAAGAGTGAATTGGTATTAATTGGAGACAATAAAGTGGGTAAGTAAAAGAGATTCACATCCCTCTGTAATTGATTTTGACTAAAAGTCAGCACAAACAAGAAAAGCACTTTATCTTTTTGAGACTTCAAAAGCCACAAATTATTTTAGTTGCACTGTGTATCACAGTGTCACAAGTTTATTTACATATATATTTACTGACTGTATTGATTTTTCAATGTCTTCTCTAGCACTAGACTAAGAATTACACATTGATAAAGACCTTTTCTTTGGGTCCACATGGCTGATTGTAGTGGCAATACTCTTCTCTCATAGCATGTGCAGAGCACACTTTAGAATGTCAGTGGGAGTTCCGAATGCATGTGGAGAGGAGGCTATAGGAGATGACATTTGCCATGTGGCTCTGAGATGAAAATTTTGCCCTAAGATAGTTCCTTCAGTAAGTTGGTTTCTTTACACCACAGCAGTCCCTTTTGTTTTAACAGAAAACAAACCTCTAAAACAATGTTAAATACAACAGACTGTTTGATATGTTATATTATGTTTAAATATCAACATAAAACAAAGGTTGACCAAAAATTTGTGATAGTAGTACTATTCTATAACAGATCTTTACTACTTTTTTGAGGTGGGGTTTTTTCTTCTGATCTAGGCTGCTATTACACCACACACAGTTAGGACCAGTCTTAGAGTACACTCCAAATTATGACATTCCACATGCACAGCTATTTGTGTAGACAATATTTAACTCTGTGATAATGGATTGATTACTGTTGGCTGAAAGTGCTATCAATCTACCAAAGTCCTGAGGAAGAGGTAACAGCAATATATAACTATGAAATTTAGCAAAATAAAATTTGCATATAAAATGACAGATATAAAAACCCCTTAAAGTTTCCATTTTTTTGCTACTACTATTTTTTGAAGCATAAACTAGCTTGAAAGGCAACCTTAGCTTTCCTAATTTCCTCTTCATACAAGAATGAACTAAGTGATTGACTGTAAAATGAGTTTCCCTAACAAAATCTCTAACCAAATGTTTTGTTCTGCTTTTTTGTTTGTTTTTCCTTGCTGGTAGCTTGGTAGCCACAAAGGAAACAGACAGTGCAAGATCTCGTAGCATGCCAATGTCACCATCTGATTTCCTGGATAAGCTAATGGGCAGGATGTCAGGCTACGATGCAAGGATCAGACCAAATTTCAAAGGTAATTTCAAACCTTAACTTTCAGGTTTTCAGTGCTCTCACACAAATGCAGTTTCTGGACCAAATATCAAAATGAAGAAGTACATTCACTGGGAGGAAAAAAAAAAAAAAAAAAAGCCTTCTTTTGTCTTTCTTTGCTATGACAGTTCAGTAATAATATGCTCTATTTCTGTCACTGTCACAGCTCCCCAGAGGCAGATGTTTTGGAAATTTAGCTTATCTCTAGATTTGAATTGTCTAATGTGGTTTGGTTTTTGCTTTTCTTTTTATTTCTGAAATGCTTGTTAGTGGATTCAAATTCCCCCTGTAGACTACCATGGCCTGAAGCACTCCAGAAAGCATGTTCTGTGAAAGAGGCCAAATCCTCATACCTGCCTGTTCCTAACTAAAAGGAAGAGTGTGTAAATGATTGGACCATCACAGTCAAACTCAAGCAAGCTTATCTCAGTTACCTAATCAATCACCAGATTAGATTTCTCACTCCTGTGCCACAGTTGTTCTTTGAAATGGCAAAAGGATCTTTCCCCTTCTTCATTTCCCTGTTCTTAGTTCTCTACTGAAACTGCACCTGGAATTGTCGGTTGGCCCGTGTTTTTAATGCACTTGTCACAAAGGAGGTTCAAACAAGCAAAGGAGATTCAAAGAAGACTGAAAGTCCAAAGTTTGCAAATTCAATTATTACATTACCCAAGGGTCCTACCGCAAACTATATTATCCAGATTCAGTCATACTAGAGTATTTAATGAAAGATTATACAAACTATAGTATTATACAAATATACAAATTATTATACAGACAAATACCACCCATTCTCACTTTTGTAGTATGGGAAGTTTAGGAAGATTTCACTATTCTGTGTTTGGAATGCAAAGAAGTCTAATAATGTAGTAGAACTATATTTAACTTTATTTCTGAACCTTTAAATCAAGTTATCAGTCTTTAAATTCTCCAGAATATAAATATTTTTTGAAATAAACCTATTGTGATAAAAAATTATATTATTCTTAGTTTGACTTAGCTGCCTTCTCCTATGCCTAAATTCTTGAGTCCATGAGATTCTCTTAGCTCTAACATTTCACTATAAGGCAGGTTTTTCTCCATGTTTAGTACAAAAAATTTCCTTCAAGCAGACAGGCCTTCCTCCTCTAAGTCATCTGATACTGCCTTTCCATCTTAATTCTTATTCAGCACTAAATTTTATAAATTTTTTGACATCTCCAAGTCCCTCCAATGACTCTAGAGCCATGCTATTTGCTGGTTTTGCCAGAATTTGCCCAGACTGATTCATAAGGACCAGGTAAGCAGTTTGTCAAATTACTTCCTCATTGGTAATCCATAAACAGTTGGTGCTGTATATATAAAATTATTACCCATTATTCACTGCAGCTAGAATACTTTGCTTTTAATGAGTTAGAGGTGCTGATATTTCTCAGAAAATAACAAACATGCACTGGAAATTCAAACACATCACATCACTGAAAGATTTACAATAATGATCAATATCCCTGATGACCATGCAGAATAAATCCCTTGGACTTTCCTTGCCAGAACTACTTTGAAGAATGTTTCAGTGCCTCTTCCTGGAGGGTTAATGTATCAAGCAGTATTTACAAAGTAATGCAAAACACTATTTCTGAAATAATTTCTTGTAGAAATGGTAGTTCTTAAATTTTTTTTTGTTCCTTGTTAAAGTTGCCCTGACTTCTTGTCACAGTATAGTCTAGCATGCAAACTGCAGGTTCAACCTCAGATAAAGCTGTGCTGGGCAAAAGACGACCTCAGGCAAAATCTAAGCACTGCGGTTTTTCTTCTTTCTTCTTTGTGTCTCCTGAAGCCCTACAAACAATTGTTTAAAAATTAGGAGCATACAGTTTAACAGTTGATTTGGGGATTGGATTTTGGAGTTTGTCATGGACACCATGCAGTCACAATCTTCTGATGGGACTTCAGTGAAGAATAGGCAGATGGTTTGGAGATTAGCAAATTCAATACAGTACTTCTTGAAAGTATAATTCAAAAGACCTAGAGCCTTATTTTGTAACTATTGAAATTTAAAGAGACAAAACCTAATTTGACATTGTTCTTTTTCAAAAAGTGCACATTCTAAATCTTCTAGACAGCTAGGCAGTTTGAACAAATCTGTCCAGAGTGATTCAGATCTATCACTGAGAATAAGTATCTCCTTAAGTGACTTTGCCACTTTCTGGTTAGTTTTATTAGTCCTAGAATAAGTGCTGGGGCTTAATGCTGCTTTGAGTTTTTAATCTGGCAACAGTTTTAAAGAAACAGAACAAGTACTAATAAGAGGAGTCAGACAATCATTTTAAATCATTTGTCCTTCCAATAAAAGTCTTATGTAGACAAGATTTTTAACTACCAATTTTAGTCATAATTAATCTTGGTCAATGACACATATTTATATATTTTGTCTGAGTGCTCTGCTTTTGGATAAGGAATTCCTCACATCTGTTCTCATTCAACAGAAATAATAAGAGAAGACTTGATATTTATTTAGTTATTGAATAAAAAAATCTTTGTTCCATTTGCAAAATATTTTTATTTCTAGTACATCAAACCTATAGCAAGATGATTCTCTTAGTTGTTCCACATCCCAGACTATATTTGTTCCTGTAAATATGGAAAAGTCTTCACTGTCTTTCAAATTCAGACACAATTATGTAAACCATGTCTAAAAATTATCATGACTTCAAGATGCTCAGGATTAACCTGAGCTTGGTTCTGCATTTGTAAATCTATACATCCCAGATTGCATCACTGATAACAACCTATTAAGGTGGGAATTTTGGAATTTATGTAGGAAATTGTAAAGTCTTCCTTGCCCTGATATTGGCAAACAGTTATCAGCTAAATCATTAGTTTAGAAATTTCTTAAGACAGGATTTAACTGGAAAAAAAAAATAGATAAATATATTCTTCTGATCACCTCTGGAAGCTGTTTATAATTTTGGCCTTTGCAGTATTTTATAGCAATAAAATCTTTGTGTTTTGGAATAGTGAAAGTATCAATTTTTGTTTGCTTTGAATTTGGTGACTATTTTAGTGATTTTATTGCCATGTGGCATATTGAGAGGAAAATTACTTCATTTTGATCTTTACAGATTTATGTACTTATGTATCACTCCCTACTATATCCTTTTGCCAATGTGAAGAGTCCTGTTCTACTTAAGCTGGTTTTGTGTGGCAGCATTTCATAGAATTTGTGATTTCCTGCCATCTCTTTTCTCCCTAACATATCCTTTTGAGGCAGACAGAGGAGAAACTTTGAAGGTTCAAGATGGAAGTTCATGATCAACTTGATCATGATGGAAGTTCATCCATCAACTTGTATGTTAGTCCTTTATGTATTTCTTTGCATTCTCTTATCTTTGTTGATTAGAGAGCATGCTCCCAGAGAACCATCCATAATTAATCTAGCCTTTCTTTCCTGTGTGGAAATCATTAATTTGGAGTCCTTCAGTAGGAATGCATTGTAAGGACTATTTGACATTTGACCAACAGTAAATTTCATCAAACATTTTATTGCTTGATAGCTCAGTACTTTGTGATTTTTCTCAACCTACTTGCAGTTGGCTTTATATACAACCACCCTAAATAATCTTATACCAGAAGCAAAATTATATGGCTATATCTTCTTTTCTAGGTCTTTAATATTGAACTACAAGATTTAGTGCAGATCCGTGAAGGAATTCACCAGCAGTCACCTCGCATTTTGAAAAATGACTATTTATTCCTAACATTAAATAACTTTAAAGCAAAAGGCCTATAAGCAGATTTCCTCTCACTTCATCAAGACTAATATCCTTAAAAAGCCTTTGACAAAACGTCATGTTGAAAACTTTTTGAAACTCCAAATAAACTATTTTAATTAATGTAATTATATATTACAATTAATATTTATTTGAGTTAATTAGATTGCCTTCGTCCACATGCTCATCAGCTATTTCAGAGACCTTCGTATATGTGAGATGTTATTTCAGTAAAAATATTATTAATCCATATCTCTTAATCATAACATTTCTCATAATTTCTACCAGTTTTGCTTGTACAGAGGTAAGGTTTGCAGGTATAAAGTTCATTGTCCTTGTCATCCACCATCATAACTGAAGTCTATTTTTCTTTTTTAATTCAGATTATACTTGCTGGACATGTTACACATTTCCACTGATACCAAAACTGACACAAACAATAGCTGACTTACAGTGATCCATATTGCCACAATCTTGCAAAGATTTTTTATAATGTCTGTCTTGATATCACCTCAGCCTGTCAGTTTGTTCCTGTTCACTTAGTCTGAAATGTCTTCTACAGTCCTCTTGCAAATCTTCCATCAGAATGGCTCCAGTATTTGACACAGCTGGCAACTGGAGACAAATGCTGCTACAAAGACTTAATTTAGTTTTCCTGTTCTGACCTTCTTCACTTTCACGGATACTTTTATATCTTAATCATCTCTTGACTTACCCTTCCAGGTCTTGGCAGGATTCTATTTTTAATGCCTTGCAGATAGTTATTGTTAGCTTTTCTGTCCCTAGTGAGTTTTCAGTCTACTTTTACTCTTCCTGTCTTTAATCCATGTTCAACTTGCCCAAGTTCCTATGTTTGAATACGACTTCCAGTTTCAACAACTTCATTTATGCTTTTTTTGGACCACATTTTGGGAAGTTTATTTTTACTCTCAGCAAAATATCTTTAAGTAATGTCTAAACCATTTACAAACTGGTTTTAGCTTCTCCTTTTATGCTCTTTTTAACTAGCTGTTAACTATATTTTTGTGATGCTGCTTTTGAAATTAAGCATCAGCACTGTAGTGTTTTAGGGATTTTTCATAAAGGCAACTATGTTGATACAGAAAACTTACACTTTAAAGCATAGTGCTATGTTAAACAAGATAGTATCCTACTGAATTTGAAATTATGACAAGTACTACAACATGAAAGTGTTTGAAAGGAAAGCTGCCTTGCAAACAAATTATCTAACAAAGCCAGGAAATACAATTTTCTCCATGACAGATTTTAGTACTCTGTCTTTGTTCATCTCCCTGCTTTTTCTTTTTTCCCTTGATCCTTTTCAGGAGGTGTCAATGTTAAGCTTTTACTGAATTCTAAGAAGTACTGGATATGCTCAACAGCTCTAAATAATTAACCAAGCAGCAAAGTGAAAACAGTGTCAAAGTGACTGCAAAGTGATACCTCCTTACCTGAGAACTCTGCTCCATAGGTATAGTCTTGTGTATTACAAGGACTGAAGTACATATCATTATGTTTTGTTGCAATCGCTATACAGTACTTCAAAACAATTACTGCCATGAGGAAAAACCCCTGGGTGTTCCAAGTTGTGTAGTTGTGTCTTGTTAGCAGAATTTTTAATGGACATTCTGACTCCTCAAGTATTTAATATCAAGTTCATTGGTCACATTAGATTTTATTAGTTGCAAACCACCAACAACAGCAGAGAAATTTCTTACTTCAGTGACCCTGAAAAATAAATATAACATTACATAAAAAGATATATAACATTACATAAGGGTTTGTAAGACCAGTCCTCAAATTCCACATATAGATCTTTCATTATTAGTGACTGCTTACAACTGCAAAAAGAAACCAGGTTCTCCAATGTTGAACTGGAATATTAAAGTGCAGGAGGGTGGCAAAAAATCCTTGTGGTGGAAGATCCTTACTTCTGCTGTACACACACTGAAATTGCTAAGACATAATGGAGAAATTAACATGCTCTACCACAATGTCATTTTTACATAGACGTTCAGAGAAATAATTTAAAACCTTTTCCATGAATAGACGATTTGTTGTTCAGTTATCATAATGACTTCTCTGCCACTACTGATACTTCACAAATGCAAAATAAAACAGAACAGTTGACTGAAGACTCATGGCAACAGAAAACTCAGTTTAAATGGATTTAAGAGAAATGGGAGTAGAATCTAAGTCATTTGTTCCTGTAAACAGTAGAGATAAGAGAGTAGCAACAATATATTTCTGTTACCAGTGATGACAGATAACATTAAAGGTAGCAGCTGCCTTGAGTGAAAAAGGTCACTTTTCCCCTAATTGTTGTGAGAAGTGACATATATTGCTCACCAAAACACACATAAAAATATTTTTTTGTATCTATTTCAAATGGGATGTTGATTTTTTTTCATAGTATTATCTGTACAATTTTATAATGAACTTTCTTTCTTTTTGTTTTTTATTTCTATAACTGGCCAGTCAAGTAGTGTACCTTTGAGAAAAATCAAAAGGAAAATTATTAGAAAGCATTCAATTTAATTGTTCATTAAATGAGTTGTGTATATAGCATTATTTCCTCTTAAGTCAATAAACATTGTTTCATAACAGTTTATATTTTACAGTCACTCAATAAGCAATGATTCTGGAACAGGGACTGGTGTTTCTTTTTCCTTTGCAGGCCCTCCAGTTAATGTCACATGCAACATATTTATAAACAGCTTTGGATCCATTGCAGAGACAACCATGGTAAGATATTTTACCTCAAACAATGTTTAAAGTTCAAGTTAAATATTTTCAAAGGCTCAAAAGCTATCTAGGGCTTCTCTTCACATGGAACTAATGAAGAAGGAAATCCATGTCTGAGAACAGAAAGTGAGAACCTTTAATTTGGCAATTGATTTTTTCTTAAAGAAAATCCATCATTGTACCATCAAACACACAAGTAAAAGGAAAGCCAAAAGGTTTTTTTTAATATCTCCATAAGTCTTATTTGGCAGTTATAATGAACTTCTTATTTTAAATTTAGATAAGTATTAGTTTCTACAGTGTTCCATCTTTCTAATCTTAAAAATGTCAATTCATTAAGTTGCTTTGATAATATTTTATAATTTCATTGTATACAGTGCATATTGGGATGTATACTTTATTTAAAAAGTCCTTCTTCCAACAAGCTATTGTACTGAGATAATAGAATAACTAAAACAATGATCTGGTATGTAAAATTTCATTATGAATTCCAAGAGTGGGGTAAATATAAGTACATTGCTTGCTTTCTGTACACACTTATAATTTGTCTATTAAAGAAAGGCAGAATCATAGAATCATAGAATACCAAGTTGGAAGGGACCTCAAGGATCATCTGGTCCAACCTTTCTTGGCAAAAGCATAGTCTACACAAGATGGCCTAGTGCCCTGTCCAGCTGAATCTTAAAAGTTTCCAATGTTGGGGAATCCACCACTTTCCTAGAGAGATCATTTCAGTGGCTGATTGTTCTCATTGTGAAAAAAATTTCCGCTTGTGTCCAGTCACAATCTCTGCAAGAGTAACTTTTACCCATTATCCCTCATTTTTCCATGGGACTCCTTGTAAAAAGTAAGTCTCCTTTGCAGCTACCCATTAAATACTTGAACATGATGATGAAGTCTTCCCTAAGCTTTCTCCTTTAGAGGCTGAACAAATACAATTGTTTCAGCCTTTCCTCACTTGGCAGGCTTCACAGTCCCTTGATCTTCTTTGTGGCCCTCCTCTGGACACTCTCCAGCCCCCTTAGCAGGGACCAAAACTGAACACAGTATTCTAGGTGTGGCCTGACAAGTGCTGAATCAAGTGGTATAATGACTTCTTTATTGTTGGGATTCAAGAGGATTTTCTGCGAGAGAACGGACATGTGAGCAATCCTGCGTGAGAACAAGACTGATAAGAGCCTCAGCCTGAGCAAGAATGCAGTAAGAATGTGACCCTGAATGAGGGGGGAGAAACTCAAGGAGACAAACAACCCCCGGAAGGGGTTGGGACGGAAGAGGAAGTTACACAAGGCGGGAAGCCTGGCAAGGCTGATGTGGCACTTCTTATCCAATCATAAGAAGGTTTAAAGCGCGGCTAAGATAACTGTCCAATCTTGAGGACTTGTACTGCGTGTTACTCACGTGTGCGGGAGAACATTATCAAAGGGCTTTCTTGGTTGTAATAAACAGGCATTGCTTGATCACATTGGTTGTGTGCATGCTCAGCTCTCCCGCACTTTATCTCTGCTGGGGATGCCCTTATTGATGCAGCCCAGCATCCCACTGGCTTGCTTTGCCACTGCAGCTCACTGGTCACTCATGTTGAGCTTGCCAGGTCCCTTTCCACAGAGCTGCTCCCCAGCCAGGTAGATCCCAGCCCCTGCTGCACTCCTGGATTATGTTTTCCCAGGTGCAAGATCTTACAGTTGTCCTTGTTGAACTTCATAAGGTTCTTGTTAGCTCACTCTTCCAGCCTATCCAGGTTTTCCTGCAGGGTGGCTTTCCCTTCCAAAGTATTCACTTCCCTGCTTGGTTTAGTATCATCAGTAAACTTCATCAGGGTACACTTGATCCCATCATCTAGATCACTTATTAAACAGCTTGGACCCCATATAGATCCCTGGGGGACCTCAACTGACAGGTTGCCAGTTTGAAAAGGAGCTATTTACCACCACCCTCTGGGTACGGCCTGTCAGTGAGTTCCACACCCACTGTACAGACCACTTGTGTAGACCATAATGTACCAGCTTCTCTAGGAGGAGAAGGCTGTGGAAAACCGTATCAAAAGCCTTGGAGAAATCCAGGTAGACGATGTCCACCACTCGCCCCACATCAACTGAGCAGGTTACATTGTCAAAGAAGATGACCAGGTTTGTCAAGCACGATTTTCCCTTGGTGAATCTGTGCTGGCTTTTCCCAATCATGGGCATCATTTGACTTGTGATAACCTGCAGAAGGATTTGTTCCATAACTTTCCCAGGGATTGAAGTAAAACTGATGTGTCTATAATTTCCAGGACCTTCCTTTAAGCCCTTCTTGTAGACGGGGTTGATGTTTGCATCGACCTATATTTTTGTTTCCAAGGTCTGGAGTCCAACAGTGTTGGTAAAACAGAGGTGAAGATAGAGTACAAAAAGACTGGAGATTTTAAGAAAATAAGGAGGAATGGAAGTCAAAGCCTAAAGATAGTAAAACTAGATATTGAACTGTGGATGTAAAAACAAACAAACAAACAAACAAACAAAAAAAACCACCACCAAACCTTAGATAATCTTATTTAAAAGGTGAAACATATATCTAATAACTTGGAGCACAGATTTACTTATTACAGTTTGGTAAAGGAGGAGATACAGGCATCCTTTCTCCATACGAATGACTCTCATGTTTTGAAGAAAGGCAAATAAACACCTTTGAAAACAGTTACAAAGTAATTTGGGGACAGGGAGGGTTAAAATATAGCAAGATGAAGGAAGAACTCTGGGAGTTTGTAAGATCCAAATATAGTAAATATTCTGAAATCCCCAAAATTTCAGGAGTCATGATACCTACTTGGAATGACAGAACATAAACTAAAATAATTGGTATAGCCAGAAAAAAAAAAAAAAAAAAAAAAAACAATTCCCAGTAAGAGCAAAAATGATACCTTTGAATGTAACCAAGGACCTGTAGTTAAGAAATCAATAACATATTCATAAAGTCCAATATTTATGCAAATATTTATGCCCCCTGTCTCCAAAGTGATATTCACAGCTGCCTGATATTTACCGGCATTGGAAAACAGTGGTAGATATTAATGAGAGAGGCAAATTATTTTTTTCGGGCAGAAAATTACTTTAGTTTGTATTTAGGTGCCTTGCCAGATTGCAAAGCCCAAACAAAGTGACATGGCATCCAAGGAGATGTATTCAGGTTTGATCAGAGGTTTAAGCAACACCTACATGATTAGAAGAGTGCTCCACACATACTTTTTAATGGCTGAATGGTGCAAAGCAGGAGACAAACCACAGGGTCAGCAAAGTGCAAAGATCCAGCAATTAGATCACTATGAAGAGGCTATTTAGAAAACTGAAGTTGCTATCACATTAAAAAAAATGTCCTGAATTTGGGAAGAGGGTGCCTGAGTTCACATCTCAAATGTATTTTCTCTCCAAAAAAGAGAATTATAAACATTTTATTTCAGTGGAACTTAGTAAGTTATTACATTACTTCTCTTTTATAATGGAATTACGTTCTGTTCTGTGTTGCCTTGGAAGCAAATTAAAACAGTTGAGATACACTAAAAATTGATCTGTAGCAAATAGTTCCAGGTAGCATGTAATAGAAAATGCCAAATTTAGTCAGCACCACAGGATTCTTCACTCTATCAATTATATGCATTAAAAAACTGGACAATTAAGGACAAACTTGACCTTAGGACAAATACTGCCTTTGTGATGCTGAAATTCTGTCTATAATGTATTCACTGATACAGTTCAAACCAGAATTTTGCTTATGGTCAGCAGCTGTTGACCTCTCAGAAACTCAAATCTTTGCAGAAGAGCAAATGCTTTTGTGTAGATAGGACTTTTAATTGTGCATTTTATTAGCTTTAGTTCTTCCCAGAATTAATGATTAACATCTTCTGTAAACCATGAAAATCTTTCATTCTTAAAATTATGAGCAAAACCATCTTGCATTATTTTACAAACTTTGTTGACCAGAAGTCAATTCATTGCAGTTCAGTATTTTACCATTTTACCAATTTTATTTACTGCAGTCTTAAAAATTCAGATACCTATGTCTTAATATTTATTCTAAATCTTGATGCATAGAACGACTCAGTAGAACAATTTATTAGACTCAAAAAGAACTTTTGTATTCTTGATAAACACTTTTTCCAAACTGTAAACAAAAGAGCCTAAGTAAGCAACAAAAGAAAAATAAAACCTGGCCACCTTGAAGTCTCGACGGTATATAAATTTACCTGCTGGATGTGCGTATAATCTAGTAGCTTTAAAGAAGTTCGAGTACATCAAGCCACGTCCTTCACTGTGGTTGTAATTGTTGGCACTGTCAGACTCTCTCCTCGTCTCCGTTCTGTAGTTCTCTCACTGATGACCAAAATCTTTGAGCTCCCTCTGCTGCTCAGTCACGTATAACACAGTAAACAGTTACAGAAGAATAATGGGTTAAAAAAACCCATGATCGGATGCAAAATAGCCCGGTGCCAACTTTACTTTACTGGACTTTATAGTTCTCAATAAGGAAGAGGAGTTTGTCAGTGAGCACTGAGAACTTACAGTGTGTGGCAGGAATCAGTTTTCAAGCAACTCACCCACACCTGGTCTAATAGATCAGGAAAGACAGCCAAACCAAATTTAAAAAAAAAAAAACCCAAACAAAAAAAAACAAAAAAAAACAAAACAAAAAAAAAAACAACAGTAGATTAATTTGGTTTACAGCTTGTTAACTCTGTAAATTGGTTCTTTCTTGCTTTCTTTTTTCTTGTTTTTTTGTTTGTTTGTTTTGTTGTTATTTTTTTGCATTTCTTTCAACTTCTTTTAGAATATGGGTTACAGTTATTTCACATTCTCTTTCTTTGTCTCAAGAGAAAAATCAGAGGATTCATAGTGGGGAAAAGTCATGCCACCTCTTGCTAGGAAGCTGTGATTCTATTTGAACCTAGGTAATTGTAAGTGATCATATGAAGAACTTAATTTATGTCATGTATGCTCTGAGGAGGCAGGAAAAAAAAAAAAAAT